AGATGCATTTAATTCCGCCACGTAACGCCGTTCCCTCTCTGCCACTTTAATCATCATAATATGCCTTTTTGTGCCACGTTCAATGGTGCTTACAGCGTCAATGGATTGGATTCAGTGGGTCCAGAGGAGGGGGCTGACAAATGGCAGACACTAATTTATATATTACATACCAATGATGGTTTGCCAATAATCACTGCGAAACGGGAGGAGCACTTAACCCCTCCAGTCGCGCTCCCGCCGATTTACAAATTGCCTCACTGACTGGACAAGACAAAGTGATTGATATTTAATCTAAAATAAAAGCCGAAAGTCCGTTGGGCAATTTCAATTTTAATAAAATGCCTTTCTCGCCCGGCCGTGGCCGGAGAGGAGGGCGATGGCCGTGGGGGGTCTATCCGGTGGATTGGCAGCATCCAGTATTTGCCGAGCCGGAGAGGCCAGCCAAGTTGCATTGCATTGCACAATTTGTTGCTGTTTGATTTCATAAAATATTAACTGGCAATTTGCAGAGTCTGCATATATTTGGTGATTACGCAGCAAGCTAGTCCGGGTCTAGGGTTAGGCAAACACACGCAGCTCTTGAAGATGAGTTTCGAGTTGAGTGATGGACGGACAGACGATTTAATTTGCCTGAGTCCTGCGTTGGAGAGCACTCTGTTGGCAGGATACAAGCATCTTCGGGCCTTCGATGATGGAACTTCAATCCCGGCAATCTCGACCTGCCCCCCGCCGTCGCCCCTGCAACGCACTTTAACTATATTAATTGATATACTTGCTCGCAGCGGTAATTTAAGCCAACTGAAGTCGTCTGCCAATGCCAATATCATCAGTCGGGCCCTTCCCCGGCTCATCAGCATCGCCGGGCTCAGAGGAGTCTCCGAGTCGGAATTGGTTTGGTTCCTGATTCTGGGCGGAGATTTCGTCTTGATGACTTTGCCCAGAGGCGCGCTCTCTTTTCGGCGCTGACACAAGCACGGCACAGCAGCAGAGGTATATACTTGAAGAACACACAAACACAAACACCCACTCTGGCAACTACTTCTGTACTTTGTGCACTCCTTCGGGCAAATAGGCAGGCAACACAGCGTATACGTAATCAAATGTACATAAGGCATTAAGCGACGTCGGCGGCGACGCCATCAATTCCTAAGCCAAAACAAGCGCGATGGGTGGCGACGGGTGGCAGGGGCTGGGGAGTTAAAGAAGCTCCTGTGGCATACATCAACTGCAGGCTGGGAGGATGGCAGGCTGGCAGGCTGGCGGGAAGCGAGCAGGAAAGGAAGGACAAGCAGTGCACAGGAAAACAATTTACAATGCCACCAACTTAACAGGATGTGGGGAGCAGGCCGGAGTGGGTGTGGGCAGGATCTGCATGCAGTTTTGGCACTGGAAAATGGCAATAGATAGCTAAGACAGTTGGCAGCCGGAAGAGGCGTGCCGCAGAGGGGGGCTCCGAGAGTTTGCAACAAAAACGAAAGCCCAGAAATCAATAGTTCATTACATCTCAGGGCCCGAGCCCGGCACCATCATTATGCGCTTTTTCATTGCTCCTGATGGGCTCCCCAGAGCGCACTTCATCTAAATCAAAGAAACCTGTCGGAAGCTTCGTCAGAGAACCTTCGTCAGGGCGGCTCCGCTCGGGTTAGAACTTTGCAGGCAACTCTCTGAAGGCATTCTTCGTCCTCGCACATAGGTACACATAGGATATTCGTATAATATGTGTAGTGGCACAGGCCCAGACTTCTCGAAGAGGGCGGAGGCCAACCCTTTCTATGTACGACTCCACGGAGAAAATCTGTACACGAGGCCGGGCACTCGTGGGCAAGTGGCAGGATCTGACAATAAGTTTAATGTGTGCTCCGAGCATATTCCAAGGCTCCCAGCCCATCCCCCCCGCTAGCCAGCTGTCAGTTCGGATGAGTTCAGTTGACTTGAGCAGAGCTGCGATGATGACTCCCCCTCCACGGGACAATGTACTTCCCTGAACTGTCCCAGCTGACGTTGAATTATCATAAATTGCCGAAGTTTGTTTTTGGCATAACAAAACTTGGGCGGCAGCCTCGTAGGCGGGAGTGGGTGTGAAAAGTTTCCATCGGGCGAAAATCAGAGCAATTACACTTGTGCTTGGGCCAGGCCAGAAAGGGTTGCACTCGAAGGACTCCCGCCACAGCCCCGCTGCATAATCCTATTAAATTTACGTTGCGGCCTGGAAAAGCAAAGTAAACCATCAGCCCAGGCCCGGGACGGGATGGGGAAAAAGCTCAAAAGGTGCTTAATTTGTGCGCTGCCTTTATTGATTTCCCCCAGCGCCCCTCCGCCGCCAGCACACAAGTATTAGAGGAGCTGCCTCGGCTAAAAGGCATTAAAGTCTTGACAAGGCTATTAAATGCTTAAGAGGCAGCGACGTTAATGACAACATCGCAAAAAGGCCAACCAGGGCCAACCGGAGGAGGTGTCCTCGCCGGCAACGCGACGCTGCTGAAGCAGAAGTAGTCGGGAGACGAGCGACGCGGCGCAAGGATTACAATTTACGAGTCCTGCGAACCATGAAGGTGTGATAAAATTTCAGCAATTAAAAAAACGTGTGCGTTGACAACGGAGGGTGTCAAGGAGCACAGAGTTGAGGAGCCGCGACAAGTACAACAGTAGAGCCGAGTCAACGTGGCATGCAACTTAAGAAGAAAGTGCCAGCGTCCGGCTGCAGCAAAGTGGCAGCTCGAATGCTCTATCCCTTGAAATATGTAAAGAAATATTTATTTTCATATCCAGTTTTTCTACAGGATGTCCTCAAAGGCATCAGTCAATTTTCATAGCATACTTTCCAGAGTTAAATAAGAAAAAGCGCAAGTTGAATAGAAATGTTGGACTACCCTTCTTGGAGAGCTACTCCCGTCCACATGGCGACATCTCTGCTCCTTGGGCTTACACCTACACTCACACACACACACTCGCAGAGAAACACCCATACCCCCATAAAAAAAACTTGCTAGCAGTTTAAACGTCGTTGGCATTTGAGAGCAGCTCCAAGAATATTGCAAATTTATGCGCCTTCCCTTTTTGCATAATTACCCCCCAACGACCCCTGGCGCCCCCATCCGCCATCCACGCCCACACCCACACCCACGCACACGCAGATTTTGATAACGTCGCTCCGTGTTTGCCTCCGTGTTTGCCGCTTGCAACATTGCAGCGCGTATTTTTAATTTCCGTCAGTGGGCCGTCCCGCTCGCTCCCCCAGATAAGCGGGGAACATGTCAAGGTAGGACTGTGTGGGTCTATGTGTGTGTGCCTAGGACTCGCTATCTCTCTGTGTGTGTGTTTGGAGAGATAATGTAAAATTAAAAGGGAAGCTGTGCCAAACAGGCACGGAAAACGGGAAGAGGAACTGCGCGCCTGCGATCGTGAATTATGCGTTCCCAGATTACCTAAAAATGTACACATATTCCAGGGGCTTGTGACAAGGACGATTGCATGGTCCATAGATGGGAAATATTTCTACAAAATTTATTGTAGAAGCAACGGCAACTGGAGGAGGAAAAAACTTTTAATTAGCCAACTAAAATGGCAAATGGCGCAGGGCTGAGATATGATTAATGAAATGCTGGCATGTAATTCGGGCGGCAACATCACGCAGGGCGGAGGAGAGCGGGATACAGATGATATAAATTAGGGCAAATTAATTGCACCAGCCTCAGGTGTGAGGGTGTGAGTTGCCACCCGGGCGTGTGTGAGTGGCAACTTTCCGCCGTAATTAGATGATGGAAAACGCTCATTTTGGCATTCAACGGGCGGCAGGAGGGCCAGCCCAGAAGGTAAGACGAATAGACAGCTTTTTTCTATGCGCTATAATCTGTCAGATGGGATAAAACAGCTTGGGAAAGTGCACATCCTGCCAAGTGTGATAAAGGACGGCGCATTAACGGAAATAAATCAAGAGTTCAGGTGGAGGATGGCCGGAAAACTGACCACCAGCTGCGTATTCCGCAGGATACAATAAGCGAGATTGAAGGACCGCCTACTCCAGACTCTGCCTGAGGAAAGAATGTCCTTTAAAAACCCCTCCATACGACAGCAAATAATTAAATCAATAAATTTCGGAAAATATCTTTATGGAGCATCCCTCCTTCCATCAGCTTCAATTATGCCGCAGGGTGGGGCTGGTGGTGGTGGCGCCTCCCCCCAGCCACTTTACTTTTGACTTTGGCAACATCATCAAAATTTTTGCCAAATAACAAAAGATGAGGAGGATGGGGAGCTGACAGGGGAAGATGGCAAGCATAACGCCCATTTGCAGTCAGCTGCCAATATGAAAAGCCGAATCCTTTTACCAGGCACCTATCCTTCTCGTCTTGCGCCTCCGCCCGCCACCCGCCACTCAGCCACAACAAACTCCGAGAACATTTCCCAAATATTGTGCTGGCAGACAGGGGTCGTGTTGGTATATGTATAAGAATTTACATACGCCCTCGCAGCCCCCTCTCGGCTAGCCGGGCCGGGCCTGGCCAACATGGCCAACAAAAAATCGTAGGAGAAGAGCCCAATGGAGCGGACTGAAGAGGATACACATAGGGGGGTGTGTGTGGAGAGTAAGTTTTGTATTTTTAAACCGAAAAGGGTTGCTCCTCTGCTTCTTGCCACAATCCTGGGCAAAACTACTCGCACAACCTTTAACTTGGCAGCTCTGTCAAAACACTTGGAAAGGCCAAAGTGCTCGGGATGTGCAGAGCTGGGGAAGCCAAGGCCCTTCTTTCTGGGATGTTTAAATTATTTCACGAAAGTATAGTGTACATATGAATATCTTTATATCCCGTGGCCGGGAGGCAGCGCGTGTCCTGGGCAACTTCTTTGGTTAATGACATAAGTATACTTGCGAAATCACACCAAACGAAACCCGAAATCTCCTTAATGTCGCCTCACACGAAAGCTCTGCGTAAATTAAGCATTTTTCTCGCATTTTCCACTCATTAATCCCCGTTCGTTTTCGCTGCATTTCATTACAGGATCGACACGTCACACGGAATGGAAACCCCGAGCCGGTGGTGGATCCCTCGCAGGATTATATGCTGATGCTGGGCTACGAGAACGCCACGCACACCGTCCTCCGGTTTCGCCGCAAGCTGGACACATGCGACGCCAGTCACGACATCGCCATAACGGTGAGTCCTTCCTCTTAGAGTCCTTCCACGTTAAATAGATATACTGCCCGAAGTTTGGCCAAGAACAAGTGAAATTTATGCCCGCTGGAAGTGGTCCTTCCGACTGACTCATAGATTCTGTTAATAAAAAAAGTTTCAAAACAAGTGCCGCCCATCAACCCGAAATGATATAAGCACCAGTGGTCCCTTTTCACACTTGAACACCCCTGGAGTCATATAGTCTCTTGCTTTTTGACTTTGAGGCCATATACTACTCAAACTCTATTCATTTCTCTGCGTGTAATGGCCAGGTCAGTCCGATTTCAGTACAAAAAGGACATGCTAAGCACGCGGAATCAGCAAATCGTTGCTCCCCGGATCTGGATGGGAAAGAATAATAAAGATTATAGACTCTGGATTAGGGGTTGCACTTGCCACTTATTAGCTGCACTCCAGAGCTGGCTCAATCCCCAATATTGGTTGCGCAATTAGCCGGGAAATCGGAATCTCTTCATCGGCAGCCACCTCTGAGCACTCCATCAGAGGCGCAAATATCACGCCGCATCAGGGGGAGCAGTCGCAGTGATAAAAGTTTTATCACGTATAACTTAAGCGTAAATCTTAAAGAAAACTTTCCGGTTAAGTTAAGTAAACAAGGCGCGTGGCAGGAGCACACAAACACTCGCTAACCAAAGGACACATATGCCAGACTGCCAGGCTGCCAGACATGGCGACAAGGACGAGGGATACCCCGACCCGCAACACGCTTATTGAGATGTAGTGGGCCTGAAGTTTGAAGAACCCCAAGCGGGAATGTGGCCAACATGTTATGCATAGTCGCGTGTGTTTGTTCCTAGACACATTTGGTTATTGCTTTATCTAAACGCTCGGGGAGCCGCCCACTCCTCATCCCCAAGGATCTATCTGGGACTTTATTTGTCTAGCGCATTAATTGGATTTCGTCGCGTCACCAGCTAGGCTGCTAGCTTGGGAAAACCCACAAAAATCGCTGGCCAAATCGTCCAGGACAAATTAGTTTGCAATAAGCCAGTGCCGGGGTCTGCTCTGTCCGCGGCCAAGTGTTGTTGCGGGCAATTCTCGAGCACAATGCAAACTTTTAATGAATTTCTATTTAGCTGACCCCGCTCCTCGCATTTCGTTTAAGTTCGCTGCTACAATTTACTCCAGAGTGGTGGAGGGGGGCAGCTGCGCAAATAGGGGGCGCTAGTTTCAAGTTGAAGCAGAGTTTTGTTACTTTTAGGGTGCTTGAAGTACCCTGCCTTATAGAGGGAGGCATAGAGTCTGTAGACTATTAGGACTATAGTAGAAACATGCTACATTTTATTTGAGTTTGTCCAGTAAAATTTCCCTTAAGCCTTATATAAAAATATATATTATATTCAAATATTCCTATGCCCAACTGCTTGTACTTTTCGTATTTTTTTGTAAGGGTATTCCCAGTCATATATAAGACCTCCTTGCATAAGAAGTCCCTACTATTTTGGCTTTGCTTTCTCTTAACTTCTCCGCCGATTTCCGTTTTGCGCAATTTTCCGGGAAGGTATTTTGCATCTTTTGCTCGTTCGCGCGTTGAATATGCACTGTCCCCCCGCCAACCCCACTCCCTCCCCCGCTTGCCCATGAATAAAAAGTAAACTACAACTTGCAGTTTTTTGCATTAAGTGCACCAGAGCGACCGGCTGGGAGGCGGGGGAGTGGCCCGAGAAGCGGAAAAGCAGAAGCAACCATTTGGCAAATTAAGCGCTGTTTGTTGTGCATCCAGGGGGGGTGCGGGGGCGTGGAGTTGGAGCTGGGGGCGGGGCGGCGAAAATTAATAATGTATTATGTGCAGAGCCATTTGCAAGGTTTGAGTTTGGTTTGTCCAGAACTTTGAGGTCAGCGTGCGGGGCACGATTTGCCGAGCACTTAAAAATTTATTAATTGTTTGCGTTTCTCCAACAGCTGCACCACCCTCCGCCGCCCATTATCTTTGGGAAACTAATGAGCAGCAGCGGAGGAAGCTTGTTAGGGCGTCCTCTATAAGTAATTCAATTTTGAACCCTTTGGGTTAGAAGCCGTGCTCGAGTCTAATCATATCAATTTTTCGATTCGTGCCACTTCAAAGCGCATCCCAGCCAGCCCATATGGATTTATCGGCCTAAGCCGCTCAAGTGGCATAATCCCCGCACCCAAAATTAGCCCGGCGAGGGGCCAGCCACCGGAGGACCTGAATTTTTAATATACAAAACACAATTTCCAGCTGTTTAAGCGCATAATAAAAAAATCCTATTTTAAATAACTTGCAACGATTCCAAGAATTTCGCCCAGGAGCAACCCCGACCCGCCTCGGAATATCCGGCGAAAGGTCATAAAAGCTGAATAAAAAATGGTTCAAGGGAAGCCCGGCGGAGAGACTGCCGCGGAGGCGGAGTCAATCAGCTGCTCAACCGTTCAAGTTGCCAGTGTTCAATTAAGCGTGTTCAATAAATTCCCTGCCCGTGGGCAACCCCTATGCCATGGATAGGGGTTACCCGAGCATATGTGCTCCATTCCGGGCAAAGGTTCTGAGCCTGTCTCGACAAATTTTCCTATAAATATAAATAAAAATGTTTATTTATATAATTAATTGTATCAGTCGGAGGAAATTGGCCGAGCGAGCAACCCTTTTTATTGGCCGGCTCTGCTCCTGCCCCTCACTTTTCGGGTTCATAAATAAATAAGGACGGCGGGTGGCGTGGGACGGAAATGCACGCACGTCGGGGGCGGAGGGGCGCTGGCCCGGGGCCAGACAAACCGCAAAAACGTCAACCACAATACAAAAATTACGGCCACTAAAAACCGCCAACGACGGCGACGCCGGAGCTGAAAAATATCAATCGATGTGGGTTCATTTGTGTGTAATGAACATTAATGAAGCGCGAAGAGCGTGACTAATAACGAAATTACGAATTGGCCAAAAGAGTCAGGACCATGACGTCAGATGGGTCTAGGACCTGGGGGATTCTGGGGAGAATCTATCAAAAGAAATCAAACATTTAGGGCGTCGGAGAGGTGGAAGCATAAACCATAAAACGCCATTAAGTGCGTCATTTCAGTTTGATTTCAAAACTCTGATTTTATTTCCCTTTTTAGCTCCGAGTGCCAGAGTGCCGAGTGCCAGAATATTAAAGGACGTAGCTTCCATTATCCATTATCCATTATGCTTTCAATTGCCTCGCTGGTCAATTCCAACTCATTGAAAATGTTTTTAATGATTTCCTGCGTTATCCGCAAACTTTGTCGCTTAAAAACTGAAAGGCTGAGTTATGGCCGGAATGACGAGAGGATTAGAGGACGATTGGCTCACACAGATTGGAATACATTTATCACACCATTTCGGGCCTCTCAAGCCGCTGCCAGTGGGCTTAATTATTCCTCCTCTTTCTGGATTGATAATGAATGGGTTTCAATTTATTTGAACCAATAATAGATACCGAGCGCTTTTGTCGCAGCTTTAATTAAATTTCCCGAGCCCGCTTAATTGTCCAGCGCCCACTTCAAATCATTAAAATCTTTATGGCCCATCCCCGACAATAAAAACTTTCCATTTGACGAGATGGCCCACATAGCTGGGTCCTCCGGCTCCTCCTAAAACCCATCTTTGGGGAAAAACTCCACAGCAGAGAGCTCTTGTTTTGATTTGTGCAAAATAATTGAGTAATTACAAATTTTAATTTGCATTGACTTTCATGTGGCGTTGTCATTATTGTTCTTGTTTCTGGTATTTGTTTAGGCCAGCCAACAAGCAGGGGCAGTGAGGCAGGGAGGCAGGCAACAAAAAGAAACTCATTTAAAATGCAAATTTTCGCTAAACTGGGCAAATTATAATTCAGAGACGAAAGCAGCATTCCGCGCCGAAAGTGACAATTAACACTAATTGTCATTATAATAATTTCATATTGTTTTCCCGCCGCGTGGTTGTTGCTGCGCCGCGGTTGTTGCAGTAATTGTTTAAGCTTGCCACGGCATTTTGCTGTCCGGGTAATTTCAGATGCAAAAATTGCTCAGAATATGGAGTAGTGGCTGAGTGGAAAGAACTGGTCGGAAAACTTTGCCGTGTGAAGTTCAAATGAGTTCGAAGCTCGGCAAAAATATTGTTTTTAATATAATTTATGCCCGGGACCGGGCTACGGCCAGGCCCCAACTTGGAGTAGTTGTGTAATGGAATTATGCCCCCGGCCCCACTCCAGCTTGGCCCGCACATAACGCTACTATTTCTGCTATGTGTTTATTATTTTAACACGAAACTTGCACTCGGCCAGGCCGGAAAAGGGGCCGGGGGAGGAGCGCTTTCCCCAATTGTAAACAGTAATTTTTGCCCATTAATGGGGTCCTGCCGGGGTCCTGGCCGACACACATACGCCGAGCCGGTGTTGTCCCCCCCAAGAGCAATAACAACGGTAGAAACAAAAAGGCAACAAGTCAAGTCGACAGTAATTTTCAACACTTACAACCGAGCTAAGGACCCGGTGAGCCCAGGACTCCAGTGCCCCAGCACTCCAGCACCCCAGCACCCTGGCGCCCCAATGGCCGCTGCAATTTTTACATCAAAGACGCGAATTCTTCAAAACGAGTTCAACGGGGGAAGTCCTGTGACAGAAGGGCTGGCAACCTGCAAACCGGGCGATTCCGCTGAGAAAGCGTTTCGGGGAACAGACACTTGGCGGCCCCCCGACTTGCTGCGAATTCGTGCCACAAACATGAGCACCAACACCCAGACATCTCCCTTACGGGCCACATATGTGTGCAGTTTGTCACGACATAAGCTCGGAGCTGTTCAGGAAAGGGGCTTTGATGGCGATAGCGATGGCAATGGCTATGGATTCGCGTCGCAACTGAACGCAAAAACCAAAACCAAAGCACTGACTTTTATAATGAATTATTAGTGGAGTGGCTGGGGGCCAGTGGTTGCTTGTGTGGTGTTTGCGGGTCTTGCGGTTGCAGCTCGGCACTTAAAAATTTAATAGGGCCTGCAACAAAAT